ACACCAATGGCCCATGGATCAAAACTCCTTGCAAATGCTCCAGGGGAAGATATTGTGAAACACGAGATGCATATTGAAGGGCGTCAAGTGTCATATCTCTCAATTGTAGGCTCCCTCATGTATGTCATGCTCGGAACCCGCCCAGACATTGGCTACATTGTTGGAATACTAAGCAGACATAGCTCAGCTCCAAGGAGCCATCACTGGGAAGCTGCAAAATGTGTCCTCCGATATCTGAAAGCAACCAGGGACATGGAACTACAATATGATGGCACAGATGTCTCCATGGACATGGATTTCTATGGATATTCGGATGCAGATTGGTCTGGAAACCCAGACATGTCTTGATCAACATCAGGTTTTGTTTTTATCACCATCCGAGGAGCAATCTCCTGGACAAGCAAAAGACAAAGCATGGTAGCTTTATCCTCCACGGAGTCAGAGTACATTGGATTGAGCAATGCTGGACAACACCTTGCATGGCTTCGGACATTTTTTGAAGAAATCGGACATGCTCAAAATGGACCTACAACATTGCACTGTGACAATCAAGCAACTATTATTCTTACACGAGATCCACAGTTCCGTGCTCGCACAAAACACATTCAATAGAAATATCATTTTATTTGAGATGACTGAGTATCAAAGTGAGAGGCAGTAATCAGATATGTTTCTACAGGAGATATGGTTGCCGACATTCTCACTAAACCCCTCACTCACGAAAAACACTGGAAATTCTCTAAAGCTATGGGACTACAGTTGCACTCGAGTGGGAGTGACAAAACCGGATAAACCCGGTCTCTGCCAAAGCAGCTATTGTTCTCCATGGAGTCACCATTGTTCTCCATGGAGTCATTATACTATAGCAAGTAGCACCTCCGACTATAAGTAGTAGGGGGTTTAGTATAGAAATACCTCAGTCGTTTCTATAGCCTCTTGGGCAGCGGCTGAGATATGTTACATTACATTTATTAGAGATCACCTTAAACTAACATCCATTGTAGTTTCACATAGGTAAATAATAAAGTCATTTCTATAGCCTCTTGGGCAGCGGCTGAGTTTCACATAGTTTTATTAGGAGGTGCTACTCACTACAGTATAATGACTCCTAGGAGTACAATGGTGACTCCATGGAGTGGTGGCTATGCTCCATGGAGAACGACGGCTGCTTTAGCAGAGACTGGGTTTATCCGGTTTTGTCAAATGTCAGGATGTTCTCTTATCACTATCTTGAGGTAGGCCTCGTGCAAAGGCATCCAACGTCACGTGAGGTGACAAGTCTGTGACAGTCCTGAAAGACAAGTGATGCCAGGGTGCCAACAAGGATAAGTCAGATTAGCAAGTTCCATCAACAGGATGGGCAGATTAAATACACTGTACTACGAGGGATGATATTATCAACAAAGAATATACTGTAGTACTATTATATACTAGATGTGTGATTAGTATAGATATGAATTAAATCTCACTCATGAGCTGGCTCGGTGGAATGAGTATCATCAAACTCCTTCATAATGCTTTCTGGAAGGACCCGATGCCCACAATACTCCTTGATAGCCTATGCAGCCTGCGTGACATTGAGGCCCTTCTGATATCCATCAATAAACCACCGAGATTTGTTTGCAAATCTAGAAAATATTGGCACCTTAATGGATTATTGTTTATTTACAATTTCAATCAGAAGATTACAGCCTGTCTACAACAACAAATGTAATAATTTTTTCCAAACTGCACAGATGAAAAAATAGAAACTGCAAAAACTCAGGAAACGCAAAAATGCTACACTTCTGTAACGCCAAACACGTAACATAGGATGCCTCTGCATGAGGCCTACCTTATCATTATTCACCAATTACATAGGATTCTGACATGGTAAAGTCTCAACATTATATTTCCCAAAGTGCGGTGTGGGTGTAAGACACTGTAACTACCATGAGATAAAATGAGCAGAGGTAGTCATCCTACATGTCACAGTACTATTGTTAGACAGACGTTGCACCCATTTTTGCAAGGAGTGAAATTGCTCACCAGCACTGTAGTCTTAAAAGCAGGTGGTAATCACCTGGTTGAGCACTTGAATAAAGGTTAAGAAGCATCAGTTTCCAGGTAATAATCACTAGCAGCTGGGAAAAAGTCCTAGAAAAACTGACAAATTAATCAGGTGACTTTCACTACTTTTATGTCCAAATTCACCCACTGCTCACTTGTCACCACTAGCATAGATTAACACTGACCAAGCATGTTATCCTCAATATATTGTATGAGTTTTAATCACCCATTGTACCAGGTGCTATTGACTTTCTCACCCAGTGATTTTTTTCATGTGATACTAGGATAATATTCTACAAGTCTGATATATCTGGTAAGTTTTTGGCAGACCTGGTGAACCAACAGACATTAGTATAGTATATCTGTAGTTATAGTATATGTCATATCCATGCCAGAAGGCATAGTTCCAGAATTCTGAAAAGGAAAAATTCTCAAGTCTGAACCCCCAAATCTTTGGTACCCTTGGGATTACACTCCTCGTGTTCTGCCACTTGGCATAACCCTGTGCCCCACCTCCACATGGTACTCTGGATATCCGCTCTAATACTCCTGCACCGGACTTCTAGTTGCCATATATTTCCTCTGCATGTTCTCATTTTCTCATTGACTCTGTAATTTGGAATTTATGATACTCTCTCTCCACATATGATTTCCCCCCACTAAATAGTTGTCCGCATGGAACTCTGTACCTACATTACAAGCTACTCCTTATGAACTCTTATTCCTCCAATAGTATTTAAGCCATAGCTCCTGTGCTCTGTTCCTGCAGTTCAAATATCAACTAGATTCCCTCGCCTTTTTACAAGTCCCTTTAGAAATCTTTCTGGTCTTTCTCTGAAGGACATTTACTCTGCTCCCTTTTTATCCTCTACTCTTCTCCATCCATTCCAACAAGTTAGGGACCCAGGTCTGCGGAAGGGCCTAGTGCACAAGTTAAGCCAACTTTCAATCTTGTACTCTGTTACCCCCCCCCCCCCCCTACTCCATCTCTGTACTACTAGTCCCATAGCTCTACGCAATGTATCCACCATGTTCCTGCGGCATTCAGAGGCCATTGTTCCTAAGCTTGATACTGGTATCAGGTCTCCAAGAGAATTGAATACAAAACAAAACATACCTTTTGCCCAGTTTTAACCATAAGTCTAGATTAGCACTGTATTGCCTGAATACCCAATAGGACCACTCTGTCTTAATCTGCCGCTTCCCATCTCTAGAATAATATTTGTAGTAACCTAATGTAAGCCCCTGCTTATCTACTCTAGTCTACATCCTCTATTTCCAGCTGTAGACCATTATTGTGTGACCACTACAGTGGCCACAATCACAATCACATATTGTGATATTGTACTGGTTGCAGTCAATGTCATTGAAAACTCTGGATGCAGTCACATATTTGCTAGTTTGAACAAAGCTGTCTGTCAGAACTGTGGCCTCTTCAGAATGACAGAGCTGTGGAGTATGGGGATGGAGTAACGGAGTACAGAGGACAAGATGGGGAATTGGCTTAGCTCATGTGCTAAACCCTTCCATGGACCTTGGTTCCTAACTCGTTGGAAGTGAATGGAGAAGAAGTAGAGGATGAAAGGGAGCAGAGCAAAGATCCTTTGGAGAAGGATTGAAAAGGTCTTTAGAAAAGGACTGATAAAAAAGCGAGGGAATCCGGTTGATATTTGAACTGCAGGAATGGAGTAAGTTGATATTGCTATATCATAAAAAATGGTTTATAGCATAGTTGTTAAAACAAAAATGACCTTGCACTTTTTCACTATAATTTACTCTAAATGCAATTATATCAATCCATACTCAAACATATCCAAAAAAAATCACTAATAAAGCAAATTATATTGGTTTCTAAAAATGCTGCAGCAGTAATATTTATAAAAATGATTTTGACGCTTTTGCTGCTTCCTCTAAAGCATCAAAATCAAATATAAGCTCAGAAACATCAGATTGCCCCACATTCCTACAAGAATACTTGAGGTTAAGAAAATATTTCTATATAAATATGTAGTAAGCTCTTACCAAACATATTTAGCAATCTCATCAACTACAGCCACCAGATATGTAGGAAAATGTTTCTAAAATTTTTCCAGCAACCTCATATGATAATCCCACATTGTAAAAGTATAATAATTACAGATTTATAGTGATTGAGGTGACTAACATACCTGACTAGGTGCATTTGCATTTAATTTTATTGTAGCTAGTGTAGCTGCATTCTGATCTTTATCTAGCTTATCCTGTACAGTGACCATAGTGTAACAACCAAGAGTTTGTTACTCCAGCGCACAACTCAGACAAGCTATAGAGAGGATGATGGGGGAGTGGTTACCCTTTAGGCTTCAACAAGTTAGTTGTGAGGATACAACAGGAGGACTCGCTAAGGAGTCTCCTGGATCTATTGAGGTATATATACTACTACAGGTTTGTTTGTACATGTTGTACTATACAGTTGACAAAGCAGTGGCTGATGATGTCAGAGGGTGTAGCCTGTGCGATCAGCTCTACTGTGTCACGATCCTCAACTCCGCAACCTACACTTTCATCTTATCTATTGAACTCTGAAGTAGAAACACTCATATCGCCATATCTAATTACATAACAATATTTATCTTATCTTGTCATGTGACTCTAAAGTCACATGACCACTTACTCATCTACTTACTCATTAGCCATGCACAATCCTCATGTTTCTCAGTCAGCGCCTTAAGGCTGACACGTTCCTCCACATATATAAGTAGCTAGTTTCCCTTGTACATATCTCAGCTTTTGATTTCTTCTAAATATACCAAGTTCAACTACCTGCTAGTAGATTGACGTTATCACTCCGTTGGTTCGGAATAGTGAGAACGTTATACACTGCATGAGAGACTTGTAGCTAAAATAAGAATAAAAGCAGCGTAGTGTGAGAAGGTGGAGTTTGAACAAAATGGAAAGTGCCACCTGGTACAATGTGTGAAAACTACAGTATAAAGTTTAAAGAGGAGAATGGAAGTTAAAGGTCCAAAAATTGTGTATCGTAACACTACCCCCCTCCTAAGGCTTGACTTCCAGGCAAGACCAAATACCGGAGGTAGTAGTTAAATTTTCGGGCATAGGTTGAAAAGGGGAATTAAAAAGGTTCAAATCCATGCCTCTAAGCTTCCTAGAAGCCAAGGGATTCTTAGAATAAAATTCTGGAACAGCATCACAGCATCCACCACTCGTTCGACTTCAAACTCTTCTTCACCTTCCTGGGTGACTACAACCGGTCCGGGCCGGCCTACGCACTGTCCTGGCAGCGTCCCTTTGTAGGGTTTCACACGGCTAATATTGATGGTGGGTACTACCCTCATTCATTTTGGGAGTTCCAGCTCCACTGCATTGGGTTTGACTTCCTTAATCCGGTAAGGACCAATCCACTTTTCAGTCAGTTTTCTAGACTGCCGATCTTTTAATTTTAAGTGGTTGAGGAGCATAACTACATCCCATCCAATATCTGCGACATTTTTGGCATCTTTGAGTGTTCCCTTTGCTGCTGGGAGGCCAATCAAGAAGCATTTGGCTCTGTAGCACCTCCTATGTACCCCATTCAAGGCCACCCATATATCCTTGGTGCAAACCAAGCCAAGAGGATATATTTGCTGCTTGAAGACACCCCAGAGATGTACCTGGCCAAAATTCAAGACTGGTTAGCCCTTGCACATGATGTGCACATATTGAAGACCGCTTTTTTCAAGCATATTAGAGATGCAGGGCTAACTTATAAGGTTCTACAAAAATCAGCAGCAGAAAGGGATAACAATTGGATGGAGGAGTGGTTGAAGGACATCAATACACACTTTACAGCCAGCCAGTTCATCATGATTGATGAAACCAGCAAGGATGACCGGACAATTTATCGACACTACGGACGGGTGCCCAAAGGTTGTCGTGCTGTGGTTCAGGCTAATTTTGTTCGGGGAGAACACTACAGTTTAGTAGCAGCACTCACACTCAACAGATATCTGGCCATGAACGTAGTCCACGGTTCTGTCAATAGTGAGGATTTTTTCGATTTTATTGTAAACAATGTGGTACATTTTTTTTGTTTATATTCATGCTCATCATTCTAACATGTTACAGCTGCCTGTGATGAACCCGTATTCTCAAGATAAAAGCATCATTATACTCGACAACTGTGCAATACACAAAATGAACGCTGTCCGTGAAGTTGTAGAAAGTGTAGGGTGTGTGTTGATCTTTTTGCCGCCATACTCTCCAGACTTGAATCCAATTGAAGAGAGCTTTAGTTGTGGTACAATTTTCTCTTTTTAGCTTGCATTTTAGGCTAACACTTGGTTTTTTTTAGTCAAAAGCTGGATCCGCTGTAACCATGTTTGCATTCAAGAACACAAGTATCCTGAAGTGTAGAAACTGTATTTTAGTGTATGTTGGCCATTTTCTGTGTAAAAATGCACAAAACAATGTTGTGTTGTCTGATTACGAGTGTAAATGTAAATGAGTGTATGTAAGACTAAATATGGTGATCTTTCTTATATCTACGGTAGGCCTTCAAAACATGAGCCCATGTGAGAGGCTTGAATCCTGCTTCCCTATGCTGTTGTTCTGTAACAGCCTCCAGATTGTCTCCCACCATGTAACCCAACCAATCCAAGCTACTTTTGACATTTTCACCAAGCTTATACAGCTCACAAAACAACGAGAGGCTGCAAGATTTGATTAGCGGTGTTATGCACCAAAGTTGATTGGTAGCATGGACAGGTGTCAAGAATGAAGCAAATATTCAAAAATACTCACCTTTGCGCCACACAGGCACAGTGCCACGTGGAATAGTAATTAATATTGCCTTTTTGAATTTGTGGCTGATCAGCACCACCTCTATTAGGCAATCCAGTCGTGTTCACCTTTGCTTTTCCATTCGGTACTTTCCGTGTTTTGGCATTTAAGCAAATTTTCGTGTCGCCACTGGCTACACATTGCGCACTTGCTTTTGTCTGTTCTCCCTTACTTTTTTTCTTTACTCAGCCCCACCATGGGACCCTTGCTCTCTTTTTTATTCTCACCCAACGGTCGCTTCTGGATCCCTATTCTGGTTCAGCTCTTTCTGTCACCGATCCATTGACCACCACGTGCCGCTGCTGATATCAGCAAAGCCCCAGTGGCTGGTCAAAATTGGGCAAAAGGTCCATCTTCATGATATTGATCTTCCATCATATACCATTAAAACATTGGTCGCTCGTCTTGCCTGGTTGGAGCGTGGGTGGGTAGTTTTTGAGCTGGAGAAGGTTCATCCCCTTGCATTGCCCATGTACATCGCCATCCCATTCACTTGGGTACAAAAAGCTTTTGTCCATCGTCTTCGCTACAGCTACAGCTACCACACACTGCCTGGGACTCACTTGTTTCAAATTGGAACTACTCCCCTCCCTCCCTTGTTTGACCAGGTGGTCCAGTACAACCAGTCTATTGGTAAGGCCATGGAACCGTCGGATTTGGACTAGGTGGTGCACTGGTGGCTCCAGTTTCTTTTTTTTCAGCAGAACATTCATTTACAGTGCGATTATTTTTGATTTTTGAATCATTTTTATGGACACATATTTTTTTAGAATGCCTGACTGACAATAAAGGAACTGTGTTGATACTGATAGTGTTTTGCCTTGCCCTTTTTTTTACTGCATCTTCCCATGACATCATGATTTTCCTGCTCTCTTTTTGCTATTGGACTTTACTTAATGGCTGTACAAACCTGTGACATTACTCACAGCATTTATTGTTCTATCCCTTTCTTTTCCTTTTTTTGACAATCTTATCCTGTACTACCTACGCAGGATTAGTCAGTGTATATTCCTTCCTTCATATTCTTTCTCATTCTTTTTGCACAGCTATACTGTGCATAGCCTACTTTTCTTTTACTATATAAACCCCTGTATTTTACCTTGTAAAAAGAACAAGAACTCAAATCCAGACTTCTTCTCTACTCTTAAGTTCACTACTCTGCTACTTGTGATCCAGTGTGGTCACAACACTTCCCACTGCTACCACTGTCAACTGCTGCCATCGTCACTTCCCATTTTTGAAGTCATTGTCATCCCTTTCAATTAGAGTCCTTCTGAGCACTACAGTTTGTGCGTCAGGAGCCTGCTATCACTGGGAACCTCGTCATATTGTTATTCTCAAACCTACCTTGTGCTACGATTAGCAAGGTAGTGCTCGTCTATACTCGCCACAAAGCCCCTATCTTTCTATAGTCCAACTATCCCTCCTCCTCAAAACCCACACCCATACATCTCTGGGTTTTACTTTGAAGGACCCTTATACATACCACCCCACGAACAACCAGAGCACCCACTGTTCTAGGAGGCAAAGCCCATAAACAAGTTCTGTGGAATCTGGGAGGATTGTGTGTTAGTTTGTTTTTGTGTGTGGTTTTCTAACAACAGTTCTCATCATCGACACCGTGCCAGAAGATGACACCACCTTCTGTGTGGGATTGCCAATAATTTCAAAAACATCCTTCTAGCATTTCCTGAGAGCTTCAAGTGATGGAACTTTCCTCGCCCCCATCTCTACTGCCCATTACAAAACTGCAGACTTCTGCAATTTGGAAAATCACAACCAGGGAGAGCTGAACAATAGGTTGGTGAGGTACATCTGTGATTATTTTAGTAGTAGCAAACCAGCAAGATAGAGTGAAAATACATACCTGCATGGATGGCCAGGGATAAGACGGAGACTTGGATGAAGCTTTATGCTGATTGTGACGAGATGTAGGAATGGGGAAATATTTGTCTACGTGACTAGTAAATTCTGCATCTCAACTCTTGTAAAATACACATACCATCTGATTTGTCCTCATAGATACACTCCCCTATATTGAAGTCTTCAAGTTCTTTGTTGGTTATACCCTATGCAGTAAGAGGCTCATCTTAATCATCCCAATTTTGTGTGGCTTCTAAGGTCTCTTCAAATAGGTCCATATTGGTCTCCCTATTTTCAAATACACGATCACCATGTTCACGTGGCCAGAGGTCAGCCAAATGTGTAACAGGTGTATGACCTGAGTCACAATCATCCAATGCAAACATTGGAGTATCTTTTGGTGACTGAACTGATGTGAATTCTTCATGCTCAACCGTGTCACAATTTGTACCACCTAGTTTTGTAGAGCCATCACAACCAGGAGATGTGTCAGCTAACTGTGATCCAAGGGTATTAAACTGAAGGAATTTGTTAAAAAAATCTGGAACTCTGTGGACCAAATTGAAGATATTGCTGGTAGATATCAGGTCTCCATCACAGTTTTAACAATCAAGGTAGGTTCAAAGACTGTCCTTATGTTTCTGTGACCGTTCATGTTGAGGTATGTGACTCTCTTTCATCGACTTCACACCTGAGGTATGAGGGCATACTAAACAGCAAACACGTTTTGTGCCTTGCAAATGCTTGTAAACTGTTGAGGGTCAAATTTCTTGGTTTGAATTGACATGTATCCATGATAGGAAAAATGCACCAGTGGAAGAGGGCTCCTTCAACCATGATACTGCAGCTTTGGGCATGAATGGTAGGAAATTGAGTTGTGTGTAACCTTGAATGCAAACTCATTTATTTCATATGCCTCATGTAGGATACATTGTCCCATGCATGATCTTGCTTCGCCATATGGGCCGTTGAGCAAACACCAATCATCCAGGTGGATTTTGGAAGTGCAGGACTCAACAACAGGAAGCATGGGACACTGGAGACAGCATTGCTCAAACTCCCAAAGCTGTGTCATGCAAGCTTTCTTCTTTCCAAGTCCCTTCTCTTGTTGTCACAATGTTGTTGGCAACCTCAGTCATTTACACCAATCCTTCTCACTCTCTAAAGCACAGTAATCAGCTTGGCTGCCCTTCTGTAAAGCTGAAGACATCTATTGTAAGAGATTTGCCTCCTGCACTTGCAGCTCAAAACATTGTGAGATTGATTACCTTTCTGATTTCCCACTCTCTTGGTTATTGTCAGCATTCTCTAGCCAGTATATGTATCAGTACAACTTCCCAAAGAATATGCTGTATTTGCTTTGCCCATGATTCAGAAAAGCTCTGGAGTTCTCTCCACCGAACCTGCACCCCATGAAATGCACATTTTAATAGACGCTGGGTACTCTGAAGTTTCAAGATTGGTGATTAGATTGTTTCTACATACTTTATTTGTTAATATTTATTATTATTCTAGATCCCTCTCTCTGAGAATTACCATCATTCTGCCAGCAATTTTCAAAGCCAGGGTATGTTGGTCAAAAGTGACATTATGGTGAGTGTCCATCACTGTTTGTGGTTAGTACTATTTTACAATCAATTTTTTGTTTCTAGTTCAGAGCTAACTTGGATTCCCCTGTACCTGATTTTACTAAACAGCCACTACCTCCTGATATTGCTATATTGTTTTTGCCCCTCTCTCCTTTCTTTGACTTCACTGAACAATCTTCCTGGGTAAAATTGATACCACCTATTCAATTATGGTTGATTTAATATGGTTTGAAACAAAGCCCTCCCATCTGGAGCTGGCACTTGGATGTATTTTGGATTTTGTATGTGTCCACACACTCTACATTCCCACAAGGCAACTGGCCTGAATGGGACAGCCAAATTCCTCTTGAAGGTCAGTTCATTGTCATGTGGATGTCTGGTATAGGCCAGCGCAATGTGAAGGTGTTGAATAATAATGATTCTGCTTTAGTTCAATTGGAGGATAACGGGTACAATGACAAAACCGGATAAACCTGGTCTCTGCTAAAGCAGCCATTGTTCTCCATGGAGCATAATGGCTGCTTCATGGAGTCACCATTGTTCTCCTAGAAGCACAATTGTACTCCTAGGAGCTATTATACTGTAGCGGGTAGCACCTCCGACTATAAGTAGTAGGGGGTTTAGTATAAGAATACCTCAGTTGTTTCTATAGCCTCTTAGGCAGTGGCTGAGGTATGTTACATTACATTTATTAGAGATCACCTTAAACTAACATCTATTGTAGTTTCACTTAGGTAAATAATAAAGTTGTTTCTATAGCCTCTTAGGCAGTGGGTTAGTTTCACTTAGATTTGTTATACAATATTGCAGACAACAACAATCTTTTTGATGATGATATTGACCACAACCGTCCTGCCCCAAAATTCACTTGCAGGCATGCTGCGGCACATTTGTAGATTATATTTCAGCTCTAATCTCTTCTATGTATCCCTATCCACTTATTGCTCATGTTGACTAGTTTATTGGATATCACAGGATGTTGTACTTTTTACTTTCTATTTATTATAACATTAAAATGGATGTCCTTATGCACTTCTTAAATTATATGATCCAGCATTTGTTACTTTTCCCTTCAGACCTGCTTCCATAGTAGACTTAAGACATTAACTTCATTGGAACAGAGCCATTGATTTGTATATTGTATTAGCATAACAGACATATTGTAGTAACCTACCCAGTCCAACCTCTTTGTAACCAGTAATTAATGATGTATGGATATTGCTACAAATTATCTACAAATTATTTTGCCATATATCATTGAATCAAAATCCCAATACTGGACAGACATTATAGGGCTTTATCGCACCTGGTTTGTGCTGAGGACCTTGACAGGCGAGTCAGGTCGGCATCTTTCGGCGTATATCAATCTGACGCTTGGATGAATCTATTTTAATAGCTATGATCACATCATGATCACAATGTCTCCCTGGATGATTTTCATTCATTGTGTACTAGACACATGCGTGTGTTGGTCTTGTGATACGAGCTTCATTTTCGACGGAGATCCGTTGTTCCAGTTTGGTAGGGCTTCTAGGTACTGGCATGAGACATCTATGGAATAAAGGTTCTATGCCGGGCTGTGGACTCGGATAACTTGAGCCGTGTCCTTTTCCAGGACCACTGTGGACGCCGATGTCAACGAGCGTCAGCAAGGCATATGACGACTTGGAAATCTCATATTCGTCGTTGTCGTCCAAGTTCACGTCAAGGCAGCAACGGCAAGTCGCGTATGACAGCCACGACGACGAACTAACTCCTGCCAAGTCCAGCTAATCGGTTCTCGAAGAGTTTCGCTGAGAACAAGAACCCAAATGTCATCACGCGTCCGAGTCCGAGTCCCGCTTTTACCACATGGTTCACCCACAAAACATATATATCATAGGCATTTTCGCAGGCTCGTTCAGCAAGCACTATTGGTGCTGTCCTCGACGTCGTCCTCGCAGTTGTGACCGCCATTGACGATGGTCTTGCTCACTCTCGCTGCTTTACTCGGCACTCACCTCTTTGGAGGCGTTTCAGCACAGACATGGTGCAACAAGAATTATATGGCTAACCAGTCTATCGTGCCCCCCGGTGGTAACTTTCCTATACCCACGTATTCACACTCCCCACTTCTCGCTTTACGCTGTGGTCCTGCGATCAAGCCTTATCTCGCTGAAGACGTACACTCACCCGCCGCCATCCTCATCGACGCGCTTGTCGTGAACTATGAGATCACAGGCGCTGCTCCCATCTCTCTTCCTTCAAGAGGTCTTTCTCAGGCAGGTAGTATTGATGTTACAGTCTCACTCGACGGGAAAACGCTTGCACGGGGTGATGTTCCCCTTAATACGACTGCTTTTGAGCTACCGTTCAGCCTGGAAGGCCTCACGCCCCAGATGACACCGTACAATCTGACCTGCTCGGCGACATACTCCGGTACCTCTGACGCAAAGAGCCAGTCGTTCAGCACAACGGCATCTCTGTCGTATATTCCCAACCCTACTAATAGCTCTGTCACCAAGATGGATCTCAGAACAGGTGCACTCCTAGCAAAGCCTGCCACAGGCTTGGGTGGTGAGTATGCACCTGTGTTTCCGATGGGATTCTATACCACCTTTGATGGATATTTGTCAACCAACTTGTCCATCGTCAACGAGCTGAAGGAGCAAGGGTGAGTACTTCTTTGCTTTCGCTTCGTATGGTCTCGAGTTGACCGTTTTTATTCAGTTTCACCGTTGTATGTATTGAACCTCTTCAAGCACGGATCGAAGGAGTCTCGCTGACTAAATTCTGTTGTTGTCCAATTAGATACACCCTGTACCGACGTTTGACAACATGACAGCCTTTGAAGAGGTCCTCGATCGGATGCAGGAAGTTGGGATGTACCTCATGTATGATATGAGATTCACCTACATGAACCTCACTTCAGTCACCGAACAAGTCAACTCAATCAAAAACCGGCCCAACTTACTTCTGTGGTACACAGCGGACGAGCCTGACGGCACATCTGATCCCCTCAACGCTACATCGAATGCGTACGATCTTATCTATAGTCTTGATGGATACCATCCCGTTAGTTTGGTGCTCAACTGCCAGGTATGTCGTTAGGTTCCTTGATCGGAGCGCCACACCTGAGACCTTAAATTTTTGATCCTCGCTTTTCATCTACCAGGATTATGAATGGCAATATTATACCGCCGGCACGGACATTGTTATGCAAGACGCCTATTCCATCAGTAACAATGTTACTTGGTCCAACGAATGGCAAACTGTGTGTACGCCTGATTATGGCGACTGTGGATGTGATAACTGTGTTGGTGAATGCTATGGTGGAAATGCCACTACAGGCGTAGGCGAGGACTGCTCTTCATCGTTCTTCGATATTAGTGATCGTGTGGACACCCACCTCAACCGGCTCGTCGCCCAAGGCTGGGAGAGGACCAAGGCACTGTGGACGGTCCCACAAGGATTTGGAGGCAGCGAGTCAGTACTAGCCCTTATGATTTAACATGTTACACTCCTGTCACAATCAGCTAACACTCCAGATTTAGATACTGGCTTCGCGCACCTACAGGCCAAGAATTCGTCATTGAGTCGCTAATTGGTGTTAACCATGGCGCTTTGGGAATAGTTTCCTGGGACGACCCCACACCAGCTGACATCAAAACCTCCGCCTCATCGCTCGCTCTGGCCCTCCCATCCCTCGTGCCTTTCCTATACTCTCCCATTGCGGTGAAAACAAACTACCTCATAGGCGGCGTCGATGTTTCGACGTGGTCTGTGAATGGAGAGACGCTTGTCGTGGGCTTGAATACCAACTATAAGAGTGCCAGCGTGAAGTGGAGCGATGTTGGGCTAAAGAGCCAAGGTGCTACGAAAACGCTGTTTGAGAGCGGGCAGGCGACGGCAGGATCAGACGAAATGATGTTCGGGAGTGTAGGTGCTGGGGCTTTTGTAGTTGCATCATGGTAAGAGGAAGTGTAATATTTAAAGTATTACTTTGAGTAAACGGACTTAATGGCACCAAGAAAGACCAGTGAACCAATAATGTTTACGAAAACCTTAAGGTAAATCGAGTACACTTGGACGATTTTGTTCCTCGGTCACCGAAGATCTAGTTCACCGCGAGCCCTGTTGGGTTTCCAGTTACCAAGATCAAATTAACACGTAATGCCTGATTCTGAAGTAAAGTATAATAGCTCTGTTCAGAGCGTCCTCGCGTAGCTACGCTTAGCTACAGACTGTTTTCGCGTAGCTGCTGTACAGGCACGTCATCGCTACCCGAATGGCCTTACCTCAAACCCTACGGTATTTTTGTGGATAGAAACCCAAAAAATATTCGTGGCAAACCTGAATTTGCTGAGGCGGATATTCTTGGGAAAGCTAGTATATTGAAGTGCCGATTCAATCCCTTCATTGATGGGGACGCTCCTCCATGTGATGACCCACTAGCAGCCTTCAAACCTCGAGGTTCCTCATGTCATCCCACAGCGTCGACGACATCTCCGACAACGACAATCAGAGCCAACAGCTGTCTGGTGAAGGCCACAGCATCACTAAGACTCTTACAAGTTGCAAGACAGGATCAGTGCAGACTCTTGCGTCCCAAGGCAATCCCCCGGCTCCATCTCGCATTACTTGGTCAAATCAACGCACTGACCGCATAATGGATTGGCTCGAGAAACATCCTGTGCGACGTCAAATGCTTTTTTCTGATTCCTTATCTGTAGCTAGGGGAGAAAATCGGCCAGTTGTGAGGAACACCAAGAGCGTCAGGGTCCCAATTGTCAGAAGAATTGCTCGACATGTCTTCAAGAACGACTCAAAGGAAGAACTCCGCATTGCAGTTGACCATCACCGCAAGCAATTTGGAGAATCAGTGCAATCAAGACTCGACCAGTACATATTTATATATTATTTTTAACAGACATAATGATATTAACATGATGAATACTTCTGAAGCCTCGGGAAAAAATATAAGGAGTGTGTGCGCACATTGTCAGGTACAGGTGCTGGATTGTCTGCTGAAGAGTTGGCTTCGTCGGGTTTTAGCAACCCTATTGGTGAGCTTTGAATCAGTTGGGATTTCGGAATGGAAGCATATAAATCTCTACATTTAGAGAAAGTGCGTGGGCAGTTCAGATGGTGGGATCGTCTGCATGCAATGTGGAAGTCATCGCCAAAGTACACATCACAACCCGAGTCGTCCCTGCCTGGCCAAAATCTCGAAAGTAGTGCTATGTCGCTGCTGTTCGGTGCAAAGGCTGATCAAGATCCCATGGACAACAGCAACTGCCAGAGCAATGGTGACTGGAGCCTCATGGAATACGAGGATGGTAGTTTAGTTCAGACGTCACAACACAGCATGCATCACCCTACGCCTCAGCAGCAGTTCGCTAGTCAGCAGCAGCAATATTTGGCCCTCCCTCAGCAGCAGTTCGCTAGTCAGCAGCAACAATATTCGGTCCTCCCTCAGCAGCAGTTCGCTGGCCAGCAACAATACACTGGTCAACAGCAGCAGCAGTTTACCGGCCAGCAGCAATATGCTGGTCAGCCACAGCAGCAGTTTAACGGCCAGCAGCAATATGTTGGTCAGCCGCAGCAGCAGTTTAACGGCCAGCAGCAATATGTTGGTCAGCCGCAGCAGCAGTTTACCGGCCAGCAGCAATATGCTGGTGTTAGCACTCAGTCTTTTGGCGGGAACCATGTATATAGGAACCCACTACCCTTTCCCGCCCATCCCTCTTTTTCTAGTGCATCATTTGACAGTTTTAACTCCTCGACTCCTTCTGTACACTCAGTTTCGTCGCTCAATTGGCCTCCCACTCTTGCACCAACCCCAAGTACACCAGCCACAATTGCTTCGCAATCTGATCATTCGCTTGTGACGGGGCCATCCACTACTTCAGTTCTTACGTCGCCATCCGCCACATCTCTTCCTGGCACGAGGTCTGTTACCGCTATTCGTCGGCAAAGTCTCCAAGCGAGCGCCAGTGCAATCCGGGGCTCTCAAGATGCTTCCTTGAGTCAGACGCCTGCGCGAGGTGAAGATGACTCCCTGAGTCAGACACCTTCACGAGCATCCAAAAAAGGCAAAGGGAAATGGGCGCGTGTTGATGATGCACCAAACAACCCAGCAGATGATGTATCACAGACTCGCCCCTCCGAAGCTGATCAGATGGCAGACTTCATGCAGCCAATCATTCAGTCTGCAAAAGAGCAAGAGACTGCAGCATTGGAGGTCAAGCGGCTGAAACTAGTTCACGGAAGCGACGTCATACGGTACAAGAGTCTCAAAGTGCAATCTAAAATAGACGAAACAAAGAAAGAAGAACAGATTGAGATCACTAGGTTGCAGGTGGAGCAGGATCTGAAGATGGAGGAGATGAGGCTGAATACACACAGGATGGAGAATGACGCAAAGAACAACATGGAGATGAAGAAATTTGAGTTGTTGGCACGCCTGGGCGTATTTGGAAACCAAGGCGGAAACCAACAAGTTAACATGTTACGTGGCCTGCTAGGATCCTCTGTTCATCTTCCCTCTCCCCCTGAGTTTTCTCCCTCACAGATCCCGTCAGAGCTGCATATTGGACGCGCCAAGATTAGCCATATTAGGCTGGTGATTACTAAATACCGTCACTTATGTCAGCAAATTCAGAAAACACGCGTTTTCACAGTGCACCCGCCTGCACCACGTGAGCCCCAATTTAATTTACTGGCATGGTCCAGAAACCACAATCAGACCCGTTTCCGACATCAATTGAGGGTATATCCCTCCACTTTTGACGCAATACTTGCCCGAGTACGCCACCACCCTATTTACCACAACAATTCAAATAATGAGCAAATTCCAGTTGAGGTCCAATTGGCCATATTCCTTACCCGATTAGGCCATTATGGCAATAGGGCTTCGGTGGCTGACATTGCCGATTGGTCTGGCGTTTCCGTGGGAGGCGTTGAGTTATGCACAAAGCGGTGCATGATCGCGATCATTTCCCTCCATGATGATGTCATCAAGGCACCAACTCCCGCTGAAAAAGAAGCCGCTAAATGTTGGGTCGAGAGACAGGTCTGTCCTGCTTGGCGAAATGGGTATTTGTCCATAGATGGGACAACCTTCAATTTATTTCAAAAACCTAGCCATTATGGAGAGACTTTCTATGATAGGAAGTCTAATTATTCCATTAATGCACAGGTAATTTTATTTGATAGAAACTGTTTTTCATTTTCTAATTTTTATTTGTAATATAGGTTGTGACTCTCCCACATAATCTGAAAATTGTTGATTACTGTGTTGGTCACATAGGTAGTATCCACGATGCTTCAGCATATCTCGACACTGGCCTGAGAACGCAACCAGAATCATTCTTGGGACCTGGGGAGTGGATTTGGGCTGACTCAGCTTATCCACTATCAGCCACATGCGTCCCACCCTTCAAGCAGCCGCCTAATGGGGCTCTGACACGCCGACAGCGGCACTTCAATTATTACCTATCCCGTGTCCGCATTCGGTCTGAGCACGCAATCGGGCTTCTGAAAATTCGCTTCCAGTCACTGAAGGAACTCCGAATTCAAGTCAGCTCAGTTCACCGACTCAGTTACACCAAACTTTGGATTCGGTGTTGCTTCATTCTTCACAATATGATCATAGAAATAGAGGGAAATAAAAGTACGATAGACAGGGACTGGCGGAGAGAACTAAATGATAGCTTAGAAGCGTCAACTGATGGGGACTTGGAAGAATCGGACCAGGAGGACCTTGAAATAGACCTGGCCACAACGGAGAACCTGAGAGACACCCTTTTGGCCGCTCTTTTTGCTAGCCACTTATATAGATAATCAGAGAATGCAGTATAATCATTCATTCATACATTGTAAGCATACATATAACACTATAAACATTGCTAAAACAACATGGACATATCTACACGCAAGCAAAAAGTTATACATCGTTCTCATAAATAGCATCCCCACTGTGATAGTCCCTTTGAAAAATGGATGGGTTTTGGGCCGACGGATGATGATGATGGCCGGATGAGGTGGATGTGTACTGACTAGGCATATCAGCATCATCATAATTCATGTCAGCAGAGGGAGTTAATTTAGTAATCACCAGCCTAATATGGCTAATCTTGGCGCGTCCAATATGCAGCTCTGACGGGATCTGTGAGGGAGAAAACTCAGGGGGAGAGGGAAGATGAACAGAGGATCCTAGCAGGCCACGTAACATGTTAACTTGTTGGTTTCCGCCTTGGTTTCCAAATACGCCCAGGCGTGCCAACAACTCAAATTTCTTCATCTCCATGTTGTTCTTTGCGTCATTCTCCATCCTGTGTGTATTCAGCCTCATCTCCTCCATCTTCAGATCCTGCTCCACCTGCAACCTAGTGATCTCAATCTGTTCTTCTTTCTTTGTTTCGTCTATTTTAGATTGCACTTTGAGACTCTTGTACCGTATGACGTCGCTTCCGTGAACTAGTTTCAGCCGCTTGACCTCCAATGCTGCAGTCTCTTGCTCTTTTGCAGACTGAATGATTGGCTGCATGAAGTCTGCCATCTGATCAGCTTCGGAGGGGCGAGTCTGTGATACATCATCTGCTGGGTTGTTTGGTGCATCATCAACACGCGCCCATTTCCCTTTGCCTTTTTTGGATGCTCGTGAAGGTGTCTGACTCAGGGAGTCATCTTCACCTCGCGCAGGCGTCTGACTCAAGGAAGCATCTTGAGAGCCCCGGATTGCACTGGCGCTCGCTTGGAGACTTTGCCGACGAATAGCGGTAACAGACCTCGTGCCAGGAAGAGATGTGGCGGATGGCGACGTAAGAACTGAAGTAGTGGATGGCCCCGTCACAAGCGAATGATCAGATTGCGAAGCAATTGTGGCTGGTGTACTTGGGGTTGGTGCAAGAGTGGGAGGCCAATTGAGCGACGAAACTGAGTGTACAGAAGGAGTCGAGGAGTTAAAACTGTCAAATGATGCACTAGAAAAAGAGGGATGGGCGGGAAAGGGTAGTGGGTTCCTATATACATGGTTCCCGCCAAAAGACTGAGTGCTAACACCAGCATATTGCTGCTGGCCGGTAAACTGCTGCTGCGGCTGACCAACATATTGCTGCTGGCCGTTAAACTGCTGCTGCGGCTGACCAACATATTGCTGCTGGCCGTTAAACTGCTGCTGTGGCTGACCAGCATATTGCTGCTGGCCGGTAAACTGCTGCTGCTGTTGACCAGTGTATTGTTGCTGGCCAGCGAACTGCTGCTGAGGGAGGACCGAATATTGTTGCTGCTGACTAGCGAACTGCTGCTGAGGGAGGGCCAAATATTGCTGCTGCTGACTAGCGAACTGCTGCTGAGGCGTAGGGTGATGCATGCTGTGTTGTGACGTCTGAACTAAACTACCATCCTCGTATTCCATGAGGCTCCAGTCACCATTGCTCTGGCAGTTGCTGTTGTCCATGGGATCTTGATCAGCCTTTGCACCGAACAGCAGCGACATAGCACTACTTTCGAGATTTTGGCCAGGCAGGGACGACTCGGGTTGTGATGTGTACTTTGGCGATGACTTCCACATTGCATGCAGACGATCCCACCATCTGAACTGCCCACGCACTTTCTCTAAATGTAGAGATTTATATGCTTCCATTCCGAAATCCCAACTGATTCAAAGCTCACCAATAGGGTTGCTAAAACCCGACGAAGCCAACTCTTCAGCAGACAATCCAGCACCTGTACCTGACAATGTGCGCACACACTCCTTATATTTTTTCCCGAGGCTTCAGAAGTATTCATCATGTTAATATCATTATGTCTGTTAAAAATAATATATAAATATGTACTGGTCGAGTCTTGATTGCACTGATTCTCCAAATTGCTTGCGGTGATGGTCAACTGCAATGCGGAGTTCTTCCTTTGAGTCGTTCTTGAAGACATGTCGAGCAATTCTTCTGACAATTGGGACCCTGACGCTCTTGGTGTTCCTCACAACTGGCCGATTTTCTCCCCTAGCTACAGATAAGGAATCAGAAAAAAGCATTTGACGTCGCACAGGATGTTTCTCGAGCCAATCCATTATGCGGTCAGTGCGTTGATTTGACCAAGTAATGCGAGATGGAGCCGGGGGATTGCCTTGGGACGCAAGAGTCTGCACTGATCCTGTCTTGCAACTTGTAAGAGTCTTAGTGATGCTGTGGCCTTCACCAGACAGCTGTTGGCTCTGATTGTCGTTGTCGGAGATGTCGTCGACGCTGTGGGATGACATGAGGAACCTCGAGGTTTGAAGGCTGCTAGTGGGTCATCACATGGAGGAGCGTCCCCATCAATGAAGGGATTGAATCGGCACTTCAATATACTAGCTTTCCCAAGAATATCCGCCTCAGCAAATTCAGGTTTGCCACGAATATTAGCTGGTGAAGGACCTTTTTGACAGTCCTATCTAACTGCTGGCGCCGTTGCTGGCGGATAGTCGGACGGTTTCGAGTGAGAGCTGTGGGCATGATGGGGTAGACTAGCATTTCCCAGATCTCGTTTTGATCTTATATACGAGGTAGAAGTGGTATTTTCGATGTATTTTCATTTTGTAATTCTAAACCTAGATGAAATCTACCCCGAGTTATTCCTCGGTTATCTTTACCGAACGCCAGGGGACTCGCTTCGTTAGTCTAAAAATCCTCTCTGGAGGACTTTCCCCTGGCTTCGCTTACACTCTGAACGCAGCTAATGTCAGTCGGAAACTGTAACTATGTCCTCCGCTTTCATACAACTATCTAGGAAGATTGTCCCAGACATCCAGTAGTGAACATTAGTCCCTGTAGGATCGTGGCATAGGGAGGGGGGAAAAGCCCGTAAGCTACTAGCAGTAGCCCTGCTGATCAGGCATCAAGTCGATTGCAGACTGCCACATTAGGTTCATGAAGTAACAGTAACTCCGGTAGTAATGTGCATAAAAACGAGCCTGGTGGATGTCTAGTTGCTGATGCAAGCAGGAGAGTTGGACGAATAAGGCACGATAAAATGTAGACATATTGCCTCCTGGGCAGTGCATGAGACAGTATTCGTAGTCTCCCTTGCTTACCTAATTCAATATATGATAAGTCGATATCTTGTAAATAAGGTCTGCACCAAAGTAAGGCCATTTGGCGTGAACCCTCCCTTCGGTACCAATAACGCGAATATTGAGCTCTTTGGCACCTTGATTTTAAACTCAACTGCTCCGATTGAATATGGCTGAGCATCACATTAAAGGCTAGCTATTGCTTCAACCAGCGTAACTCACCACTTAGCCTTTGTGCGAATCGGTAGAGTTGATAGTGAAGCTCTCAGATGACGAACAATGCTAGTTTCAAATTTTTCTTCCATCCCAAACAGATGCTGAGCCATTGAGATAGTGAAACTGTCAGCCACTCCAATTAAAACGCCGCTATGAATTGCAGACACACCTGAACCAAAACACAGGCAAAAAGAAATGGGATATTCAGAGTCATATAGGTTCAAGGTGCTACATAAATTGACGTAGTTGCGATACAATAGTAGGGATCATAAACATAACATTTGTTCTCTACAGTAGCTGTTTCAGCTGAAACCTTTATGTGCTTTTTCCTGGTGTGACTAGCCACAAAATGCTGAGTTCAAGCCGAATGTGCCGTTCATGGTGCCTTCTCTATTACTACCAAAGCGGGGGTTCCTGCCAAAGGTCCTTACTTTGGACCAGACTACAGTATTTGAGTGCTGGCCGGAGCTTGTCGAATTTCATATCTCTGTGGTTAAAAAATAAGCCGTGCGGAAATGAAAACGTAGTCATGGGGAGAAGAACCTCGTGTCCATATCAAGAGCCTCAAAAATGGCAATGATGACGCTAAGATTCTCTGTCCAACGAACATATGCATCGCTTACTAGAGACTTCGGCATCTCTTTCATAATCCATAGCATGAAAACCTGCAAGAGTCTGCGAAGGCTATCACATGCACCGCTTAATACACCTGGTAAGATGGCCTGTCAGCACATATGTCAGTGATGGAACAGAAAGAAAGCAATTTGGGTACGGACCTGTGTCCGGGTGACAGTCATAGAAGATAATGTTTCCGAAAGACTTTAGAACGTGGCGGACTCTGTGTGCCCTGGGCCTGAGGTTGTCGCCCTAGTAATGTCTCTCTGAAGTCACGTGGTTGCAAATAGAGTGTATGGTGTAGCTCCAATACATCGAGGTTGTGGCTGTGGTATTAGTGCAATGAAAGGTTCTTCCAAGGATTCATGATAAAATTGTTGAATCCTGTTAGATACATTTGTAATATCAGTGTGAAACCCAGAAGACGACCAGCAACTGTTGATGGAGGCCCAATGTGGATCAGAAATGTGACCATTTTCTGGATAGACAGATTGTTCGGGATTTATTCCTTGCATCAACCTGAAAGCAACTTGTAAGTCCTTGCTGAGATACCAATGCGGAATTTTTCCACTGAGAACCTAGAGAGGAACTGAGAGTCAATGACATATGGAAGTGATCGCAATCTGAGTTTGTGTTACTTGTATGCGTGATAAGTGTTTGTTTGCAGAGATGTGAGCTGACACATAGCATTGAGCGTCACCTGCATCTTTCATTCTGAGGTCATTCAGCTGATTCTTAATGGTGAACTGAACAGAGATATCAATGTGATCAAATTGATCAGCCAGTATGGTCCAAGTGTCACGAGCTAGTAGAGAAACATCATCCGGAATAATGTTTAATATGATGGTGTTCACTTTGTGAAGGATGATTCCTTTTGCATTTCTGTCGTCTTTGATCCATGATTGAATCAATTGGACTTCTGTTGATGTTGGTGCACTCAGGTCGAGAGGAGACGGCAACAATGACGCATATTCAAAGAAATTTGTCGGATCAGTTCCCTTGCTAATGTGATTATACAGGCCTTCCCCGACTAACAGTGTTTTTGTTACGATAACACAATTTTCAGACCTTTCCTTCTTTTTCATTCTCCGCTTTAACCTTGTACACTTTAGCTTTCACACATGGTGCCATGCGGCACTTCCCCTTTTGTCCAAACTCCTCTTTCTTGCGCCACATTGCCTTCTTCTTATTTTAGATACAACTCTCTCACGCAGTGGAGCTGGTCATGCGGGCTAGGCCCCATAACATCATCAGCCACTAACTTTATCAACTGTACAGTACATAAGTACAAACACTCTGTATTAGTATATATACCCCAATAGATCCAGGAGACTCCTTAGCGAGTCCTCCTGTTGTATACCAACAAACTCTCTGCAGCTTAAGGGGTAACCACTCCCTCAACATCTTCTTTATAGTGTGTTCTTGTGTGCGCCAGAGTAACTAACTCTTGGTTGTTATAGTTTTGGTGTGACGATGCCATTCATGAAAAATTTTGGCACCTGTTAATTCTGGGATGTGATCGAATTTTCCCATCTTGATCTGATGACTGCGTTGACTGTGTCTGTGAAGCTGATGAGTTGTCAACTGTATGCACGTCTGTTTCCGGGCTAATTTGGGCTCTGATCTGATTAAAGCCCAGGGCTCATAACCTAAAGAAAGCTAGACAGAGCTCAGTGTTGATGATCAACAACTATTATTAATGTTCTAACCTAGACAGAGCTGATAGAATATTAGTCTACAAGAAATCTTAATATAATGTTATACACACCTCAGTGTTGATGATCAACAACTGAGGAACAAACAAGAGTAAAGTCCAGTGCTATGTAACGAGTCTGAATCATGTGATTTGTCTCTACAGTTAAAGTGACAATGTTGACTCTCTACAGTTTATCAATATAGATTTAGCTGTAATTATGGGCATCACCCTCAATGTTGCTGGCAATGAAAGTCCGAGGTCAGCTGCTTATTCAGGTCGAAACTTTAATCTGTACTGCAAGAAAATATTGAAACTTACAGATTTTCTGGTAGGATTGATCTTGTACACAATCCAATGTTCAATGTTCAACATCGGCAACATTTCTGATGTCCTGTCACTGCTTCTGTGGTCTCGCAATTAATATCTATTCACAGGTCACCATCACACTCTTTGTTTGACTTTAGTATTGAAGGCTATTCCCATGTGTATTCTCTCACGATCCTTTTCATGCCAGCATTGTCCGTACAGTATCATTTCTATTCCTAGATAAATCAGGAGTCCCACTTGTTGACTTGTTCACATGTATGGCCCACCTGATGAGGCTGATGTGGCAGGACGTCTCGAGTAAGGTCTATGATGCAAAAGTTGACAGTTCTGGGAGGCTATCATAGGCTCATGCTGAGCCCTAAGAATAGTCTCTCCGTTGGATGTATCTCCTCAGAATTGAGCAGATCTGCCTATGCCAGCTGCTTTTGAAATGCTGGTATGTGTACATTGCAGGTTTCAATTTTTTAAACTGTAATGCTTTCCTTCTCTGCAGACAAATTGATTGTTCAGGTGTGTCGTCCTTGGCCCTCTCTCTCTTTGAAATTAGACCCCTGTAGCACAGAGTACATCCATGATACATTCCACTTCGTAGTTGTTGGACTTAGTCTGCTTGTCGCCCCCATCCCACCTTCCCTTAGTGTGTAGCATGTCCCTCCTGCCTAACACACCAGTGCATGGCACATCCGTGCATAGCGCACCAATAGTGTAGCACATAGCTATGCATTTGACCGAAATTGGTCTTCAAAAGTATGTTGGAGGAAGTTTTGGAAACCCAAATGGGATTAGCTCAGATTTTTGAATTGCGCTTAGCCATAAAACTATCAAGCGAGTTTGACCACTTTGCAGATGCTGGTGTGGTTCACTTGAGTGCCGCTACTTTTGTGCAAGCGCCAAATCGGCCATCTGAACTAACCCTGACCACCTTGAAATTCGGCTGTGGGAGCACAGGATGTATCAGTGGATGGAGGCTTACCGATCGGGACTTGAGACCAAAGATGCTCAGCTGCAGGTCCAGCAGTTTACATAGTTCGGCAAAGTACAAGTCTCATAGACGGGTTCCAGAAGCTATTGCACGTCTTTTTGATTGATTTTGGGCGACTTCTGTACTTATGCGCCAATTTGGGGTCATTGAAATAATTATCTCCCTCAGTTTTGACATAATTCAAAATCTGTCTTGTAATTATGTTCCCCTCATCAAAAGGAGCATTTTTACTAGAGGAAATTAAAATCCGACTTTTTCTGAAGGGGGCGAGAATTTTGCACAAAAGTAGCGGCACTCAAGTGAACCGCCCGCACCATAGGATATAACACATACCTCAGCGCCGCGCATACTATCCAGCATTGCACTGCCTCGTGGCAATTGCAAGGGCTGGTGACGAGTCACCTTCCTGTAATGAATGCATATTAGCCATTAGTGATGTCGAGCAACTCCTTCAAGAACATCTACATGTTAGTTTTGGTGATTCTGCACCTAGTTGTGCTATCTAATTTCCCTTCTTTCTAAATCACTTTCCTCTTTATTCTTTTTGCTCTATTGTTCAGTATTCACTGAGCATTCTATAATTTTGCCTTTGTGGCTGATTTGTTTACCTTTGTTTACAAAACTTTGGACTAATATTGCAGAATCCAGTATTCCTATTCTTTAGTTACTCATACTGGACTGTAGTTCTGTCCCTGTTAACTCTCAGCAAGTGGCTAGACACTTCCCAGAAGTTCTCAATTGAACACTACACCCCTACGCAGTGACCATGCTTCCATCTTCCGGCTGACGAGGTACAGCAATCGAGTCGGGGTCACATCACTGCGCCGGTGGATAGATCTTGAATGATAAGTAACACGTAATATTCCATTACCGTCCCTACTTTTAACTGTAAATTAGGTGTCAATGCCTCCCATACATACTTCGTGCCAGGAGATTCAATGCAAAGTGTGTCATGAGGTTTCCGCCGCTTACGGTCCACCTAATCATTGTCAGGACGAGTCGTGTTTAAGACAAGTATGGACTTTCTTACCTCATGTATACGTGTGCCCAGAAATGCTTTATCTGGCAGTGTGCACCGCCTGGGACACCATATGGTATTATAGGTCATGCCCCATTTTGAGGCGTGGTCGCAGTAGTCCCTTCGAACATTGACGTTGACTGTTCTCGGACGCTAACGTGAGTGAATCATTGACCGAGTCGAGGAGGAACTGGTGTTAGTGATATGGCAGTGGCGTGTAGTTGCCCAAGTCTAGATGACCTCAATGTTACCTCAGGGTACACACATATAGTATCATCGTCTGCCAATACTTACCATTTTATACAGGGTTAGCTCTCCTTTTAGCTGATGGGCCGCTGTGAACGCACCGAGTATCCCGATGGTTTTCCCTGCTTGCATTTCAGAACATTGGTAGGATAATAGCATTCCCTGAAGCTTTACTCCGCCTGCCGTGAAAATCAACAATTATTCCAGTATTTCAGGTATCTAAATTCCTTTTTGAACATTTTGTCCCGCTCGCACTTCTCGCATGCGGCATTCGCGCCTCAGTAATCACTACAGATCTTGGACCTGGCCCTCTAGCCATTCCCACAGCTTTCTACCAAGCTGAGGGTCCTGGGTATTTGCGCGAGGTTTGCCTATCCTTGCCCAGGGTATGAGGTACTGAGTACAGAGTATATTGAATGATAAGCCACGTTCTGGCTGGAAACGAGGACGAAAATAGATGGACAAACCTTTCCCTTTAGTGCTTCGGCGTCTGGCGTAGTTCCCGCGTAAAGCTGCGTTAAAGCTCCATACGGGACATCGTATAAGAAAAGAGCCTAAATGAACCCATAAGTGAAGGTACAGAGAACGAGGGTAGAGGGAGGCAAACCAGGAATGCATCGAAAATTTTACTGTTGTGGCGATGCAGTTCACTCTTGATAAGGCCTATAGTATATATCAGTTCGCACGGAGCGAAACTTCATCCTTTGGGGTGACTACAGCTTGCCTGGATGCACAGAAATCGTTATGATTCCTTTCTCCTGGTACCTTCTATGTAATTCGGTAGAAAATACGATGTTTCCCTATTCTCTTCCTGTTAACTGGATATTTACTATGATTCACCGAAGTACTCACTGTCTTACTCTGCCCGTAAAGTTTCATTGACGGCATCCTTCTCCTTGCGCGTGAGTCTTTGAATGTGTTAAAATGGAGGTTGCTGACAATATGAGCCATTGAACAGACGTTGACCACACGTACTGTCCCCTTTGGTGATATTTTCACTGTCGACTCCATTAGGGGTAGCAAAAGCTTAGTGAGATAAAAATGCCCTGATCATCCAACGTCAGCAGCGTAACAAATATAATATAAAATGAACGAATACCGAGAACGTTGGTACCAAACTGGAGATCATATCCGTCTTCAGTTAGCAGATTCACAGGAGCATTCATAACACCACTGTAAACACGAATTTTGCTCTTACCACCATTGTACAAAATGCAACATACAACTCACGCGTTGTTAATAAGCACGTGTAGCTGGTTCTCTGACCTGCATGCATGCTTACTTTAAGCAGCCAATATAGGTCATAACTATTGCCTCACTCACTTCAAAAACTCCTCTACTGATGCCTTGATATCCTTGAGGCTCGCCAGATTTATTTGAAAAAGGTGGGCTTCCCGTCCAGTCAGTTCCTTCAACTCGTTAATAGCGCCTTCCCCCTTCTTCTTGTCTCTCGACCCAAGATACACTTTAGCATTCTTCGTGAGCAATGTCTAAGCGTTGCATGTCAAGTGCAGAAGTAAAGTCAATTTGGTGAAAACTCAGCGTACCCTTGCTGTTTCTTTCCCGATCCCTACGTTTGCTCCGGTGACGAGCACTACTTTTCCAGTCAAGTCTGGGATTTCATCTACGCTGAATGTTGGAGCAGGTGGGAAGGATTGTGCGACTAGTGTCGACCAGTAAATCCCCATTGCAATAGAGAAAATCGACAAAAGCGTAGGAACCTTTCAATTTCATGCGACGAACGCGTCAACTCGGCAAATGCTCGAACGATGGATCCATTATATGTGTTTTTCGACTTGTAAATATCGATAAGCTCGGACGAAAGTATGTGCCAGTGCCACACATACAGACTATGGCCGTCACTGGCGCGGTCGGGCACGGTCACGGTGGTATCATTGTCGCATTTGCCCAGCATTACAAACGCTTCGATCACGGTATCGGCTTATGATTATGCAAGTTAACCATCGCACAGCTAGGTCTAGTATCTATATGTAATCCATATTAAACGAAGAAAAGCATAACGATGGTGCGCGTATATAATTATCGCTGAAAAACAGTAGATTCTTCCTGCATCTGCAAGTGCCATGATGTTCAATTAGCCATTCCTGCTCATCAGTAGATGTAGGTGTGGCTTACCCATGGCTTATCCTCACCAACCTTGTATTTCCTAGGTGGGCGTTTGAAACATGACACACTCTCTAACTCTGACTCGTCCTGAAGCGGAAATACGATTCCTAGTTCGTAGTTCACGACCTAAATATGACATTAGTAGTTGAAACAGCAAAATGTTTCAGCTCGACCGGGACAAACATCCAAGAAGGCCAAACATTTAAGACGTGCTACTCACGTTGAGAATGGGGTTAAAGCCCGAGCCCGAGAGGGTCCCCCAAGCAGATGGTGTAAAATTGTGCGAGCCTAGGTATGCCCAGCCGATAGGTGCATCATTGACGACCTCGACAACATCATCTTCTTCCGTTTCCGTTTCTGTATCTGAATCCGCATCCGACTGTCTTCCTTTGCCCTTATCGTGACTGTCTAGAGAGTTGGTCGTAGCCTTCTGTTTAAAGGTCCCAATAATCATCTATGGAAAAGGCGAGGTAATGGCATGCGAGCTCGTCCCCGAAATATAGCAACTCACCTTTGTGTGCATCAGGACCCCACCTGCAGTGCTATTTGAGTCATGGAACAACTGTCGCGGGAACTTAGCCCCATTCCACTGCACCCCCCGGCAGAACATGGTCCCTCCTCCCTGAATAAAACGAAGATCAGCCATATTCATGAAATATCTGTGAGAACATACAGGTTCACCCAAAACACTTGTCTGTACCGTCTTCAAGCTCGGAAATACAATCTTCACGGCGGGATATGGAAGCTTAGCCCGACGAGTTTTAGGTTCATCAAGCCAATCTTCAGCTGATTCGCCACGCGCTGACCAGTGAAACTCGTTCATCCACTGTGTAGAGTAGGTGCCTATACTGGATCCCTAAATTTGCATATTGATAAGACAATAAGTTGGCCATCGAGGCTATTGACTTCAATGACAAAGTGTAGAGGTCATATACCTGACACTCGATGACGAGGTCCTTAGCTGCCTTGCCCTTTCCAGTACGCAAACCCATATCTCTAATTGCCTTCATTAACCTTGTATGACCCGTCAAGATCACTTTCGGCCACCCTTCATGCTTGCCTGCTATCGATGGAACCAGCTTTACCTTAACTTTCGACCAATCCCAATGCGATCGGAGGTGATCAATGGACTGAAGTGGCAAATTCGGATGCTAGTCATTTTCATATTGACCTATAGGTTAGATTTGACATGCGAGTAAATACTTCGCGAACTTACATCTGTTTTCAGGTGGGTTGCTAGTGCAGGTCGAACATTTAGCGCATGTAAGACTCGCTGCATCACGGTTGCAAAATTATCCACTGCCTTTGGATCATTTGGTAAGGGTTGAGGTCGCAATGGTACATCCTGTAACCAGATAGCCTATGATAACAGTGAAGAATTCATCTCGAACGATCATTTCTCATTAGGGACCTACGTTCTCAATGTCCCTATAATCGTAGTCAATAAGGTTCGCGGTGGAGATGACCACTCTCAGACGGCCTGTCTTGTAGAATAGCTGCGAAACGATAAGACTAATATCAGACGATAGTGTGACTTGAACTGACGAGCATAAACTTCATGAAAGTATGAGAAACTCAGCATTGATCCAGTTACTAATGCAGCTATAGATACTCACTTTCATGTGCATACACCCTCGCCCGTAGCGCAGAAACGGAGTCGTCCTGATCCAATTTGGCAGAACATTTTTTATAGTTGCTTGGCCCGACTCGTCCGGCTGCGCAACTATAATGACGGGTACAGATGGGTCAAAAAACTCGTATATCCACGAGACGGATAGCGAATAGGAGGAAAGGATGGCGAAGGATATTTCGGATTTCTAGTCAACAATCCAGTTTACTTTTGGGTGTAATGCTAAACAAATGATTCATACTTTACCCAAGACTTCTGTTAGTCGAAAAGTTGGTTTTCCATCTTGTCTGGGGTCGGTGTGGCGATTGGCAACTGGCCTGAGTTCTCCTTCCCAGAATACCTGCTCAATTGCAGGAATGCTTGCAGAACCACTCTCTGCGCTGGTGGAGCTAGAAGAGGAAGCAGACACGGATGTGTCGGCCCTTCTATTAGTGCTCACCCGAGATGAAGATGAAATATGTTGCCTTTTTGCAGGAGGTGCTGTGTTCTCATCCTCAAAACCTGCATCCTGGCGCAGTCTTTTCTGTCTTTCAAGTCGCTCCTTCTCAAGCTGAGCCCTCTCTGATAAAAATGCCGACGGGGTGAAGCTTTGAGGGCGTGTATTTGTATCGCGGCTGGGTGGTCCGCCTGACATTGACTCAACGTCCTGGCTTTTGTCTGGTCGCACAGAGCTACGAGACAATCCTTCGGCTTTTGATGCTGCAATCGCTCTTTTCAAATCCGCTTGAAAGTGTGTATCTTCGTCTTCGTCATCAGATATAACTATCGGATTATTTGCGGTTGTAGTTGATTCTTGCAAACTAAGAGCAATCGCCCTTTTGGTGGGAGATGAGCTGGCATAATATGCAATATCTAAAACAAACCTTTCGAATTCTTTGTCGTGGTCCATACCCAGTGTAATTCAACTAAACGATGATGCAGACAAACGCTTTCCGGTACACCTTTAGCGTGACCACGAAAGCCACTGACCACCGTCAACTTCAATTGCCGCGAATAACAAATACCAATATTAGTCACGTGACAAGCTAAGACGCGAGACACGTCTCATTTCCCCATTCTGATAATGTCTGGCAGTCCAAAATTTCAGGCGTTTGAGGCTGACGTGGAAAGGGGTTTAGACTATCACAAGATGGATTATCGACTCCATATTTCTAAGTAGCTGGCATCACTACAAGTAAAACTGCCATATCTCTACAGAGTATTGCATACCCTCCCATCGCTTTCGTGCTCTGGTAGCTCTCAATATATCTTCTTGCGCCAGGTGCGCAGACCTTAGAAATGAGCTCTGTGATCCCGCAGAAGTTTCTTTCTTTTCAGGCTCGAGATAATCCTGACATTATCATTGGTCCAGATGGTCAAACATCAGTTGAGCTAAACGATGCATCAAACGATGACAACGGCAACCCAACCTCCAGTTTAGGAGACGATCAGACCCCAGACCCCGATGCACTGGATACTACTACACCACTAGGGAAACCGACACAAGCTTTGAATCAGTTTTCTATGCAAGAGCAAGACGAATCGCAGGTCGGTTCGGTGACAATGTCTTCGCTGCTTCTGCCAGTACCTGAATCTCCTTCCTCTTCTGGGACCTCAACATTCACAACGATGTCGTCTTCTCTGGATATCCCTGCGTCGTCTTCATCACCAATTGCAACACTTATGACCATGTTGCCAACTTCTCCACTTGCAGTCACGCCATCTCCTCCTTCTTCTGCACAAGCGTCGACCATCACAGCCTCAATTCCAACCAGTGTCGACCCATCGCCGACACCGACACCTTCCACGGCATCACATACACCCCCTTTCTATGTCGCTATAGTCCTAGGATCATTCACTGGTGTGGCCTGCATCGCCGCCCTTGTAGCATGGTGGATTCGGACACGCTCCCATGCTCGGCAACGCAGAGCAATAGAAGAGGAAGTTATAGGCGATGGAGGCAGTAGTCGTAACCTGGGCTTGGACGACGAAGTAGACTCCAATTACCATAATACCAGTCGTCAGGAAAGGTCCGAATACTACCTCCCGGCGTCTATTGTGCAAATGAGCACAACAGGTCCTTTTGCTAACAGTAACTTGTCAATTCCAAATAACGATGGAACAATCCCTTACGGAAACGATGAAAAAAGTATCCGCAACAGTCTTGCTGACAGCAATAATGGCGGACTCTCAGTAATGCAGGGTCCATATCCGCTCATGCGCCCTTCCCCGACGAAGGTCATAAGTGGATACAGCGTACACGAGAGCACACGCACTCTGGGGCCACTGCAAATAGCGAATATGGTACCCGGAGAGTTATCCATGTCTGGAGACGAGTCTAGTCGCCCAGGGACCCGACTTGATATGGTGAGAACACCTAGTTCTGAAACGGTTAGGTTTCCGCAGGAGGAAGTGTCAAGCTCTGCAGCGCAGCCTGCAGAACTTCAGGAAGCTAGGCAAGATGTCCCATGGGGCCCAATCAAAATCAACTCAGGTAGCTTAAGAGCCAGAAGAGCTATCGACGGCAGAAATGACGGGAAATGGAAGAAGATGACTCCACCGGGCCACGAAGATAACTTTGACGAGGTCGATAAGAAGAAAACTGAACAAGGTTCAGATGGTTGGACATCAACTCTCAAAACAAATTTCTTGAATGCCTTAGGTGTAATGGGAAAGAGCAATTCATCAGGCACAGATGAAGATGACAAGTTTACGCCAGTTCCTCGGCGGACAAACAGCAGAGGTGGAAACCAACCAAGGTGGAACCGCGACTTTGGAACACATCCAATTACGAGAGGGCATTCGACCTCTTCGGGTGTATCAAGACTGTACACACTGGAAGAAACAGGTGAAGGTATGGGAAGGGTGCATATCCGCGGGTTGGACCCATATAATGCCGATTATGCATCGCCAAAACCATCCAGGAGTACGCTCGGGCTTAGCACTCTGGACGGTCGTCAATCCATTTATCCAGGAATAGATAATGTAGTAACGCGGGAGTCTCAAGCACCATTGCTCAGCCAGGAAGTACCCACCGCCAGTGCACGACCTCGACGATGGACAGCCAAGCGAATCAATGAACGTCCTGATGCCTTGTCTCGAATGAGTACTGGTAGCATTTACTCTGCTGAATCTGTGGGACCAAATCCCTATAATCGTAGGGCTGCTTCGAACCCATCTGGACTGCAGAGTTTTACACCGAAAACCACTCCACACAGCGGAGGACAAGATCCCGCTCAGAGGAAAGTCAGGTCTAAGCGGAGAGAGCGGGTGCATGGGAGACCCAAGCTGATGGAACGCGCGTCTTCATCCACATCATCAATTATGTCCTTTGGGTCGGACCTGATGCGACCCAATCTTGCGAGGAATCTTTCATCAAGAGAAGAGTTTGCAAGGAGAGCGCTCGCGGAAAGGAGAAGAAGGATGGCAATCAATGCAAGGTCTTCGGCTCGGCCTCAGGGTGGAGACGATTCTTCTTAGATACGATTACAGTAGAAAGATGCAGGAGTTGTCGAATAAAACCGTGTTCGAGCATATCGTCCTGGCATGTCGAGTCCGACACCATAATCGTCAGAGCTGTCGGAAGCAATTTACTCTATATTCCCAAACATTAGCGCGTAGAGGTGCTCGACGCCGGCATATATGATAAAAATAAGAAAATATACGGTTCTGTTACGCAACATAGAAATACATGGTTCTGGCAAGAGTCCAGTGTGATGGCAGCATCGGAAACGGAACGGGAAATTTGGGGTCTGTGGCTCACCATGCTCTGCGTTTGTCAGTCGACTTGAATGCATATGCAAACAACCAGCTTCAGTCTGCTCATACTCTTCACAGCTTATTACTTGTCTTTCTTCTCAATATTTGCTGCCAAAGGGTGTTGCGATTAATTTTGTAATCCAACTCCCGCCTAGACGATGAACCCGGCTGCGTTTCTTCCTGTCTTATCCGTGTCTGATGTACAACAAGCTGCTCAAGTAAACATCTTTTGGTTCAGGGATTCCATCTAGTCGTTCATTCTCGTTTCGCAGTTGATCCACCAGGCGTATGCGCCTGGAGCCCACATATCTCCCGATGATCAGCGTCGTATCCAGCAAGAGCTTCTCAGCATCCAAAAACGCCCAGAGGCATGGGGGCTCGTCGTACCATTCCTAGAGAACCAGGATCCTAATGTCCAGTTTTTCGGTGCACATACTGCGCAAGTTAAAATAGCACGAGACTGGTGAGTACTCCAACCCCAGATCAAAACTTTCCGCGACCTAGTGGTCAAAGTTAGTTATCCACCTACGCTTCCTCGCTCTCTCGTTCCTGCGTCCGTCAAGGCCTTGTATATTTATCGAATCGAGAATGGCTCAAAATATTTCTTCACAGGGACTCATTCCCTCAAGACAACGCGCTCCAACTACGTGACCTTCTACTTGAATTGACGGTACATGCCGTTTTAGCTGGACGCACGAAGGTTATCTTGCGTAAATTGTTTATTGCTGTACGTCTCTCTGCGCTGTGGAAATCTGTATCAAGTCAACTGCAAGTCTCATTTTACTCTAGCTCACGTCCTTGGCCCTGAAAATTGCAACTGGAGGATCCTCTGATTGGCCAGATTGGATCATATCATCTGTCAATTTCCTATCTGGCCGAGGAGTATTTACAGAATATATGCTTGATTTCCTGTCCATCGTTGCAGAAGAGATAGACACCGCTGCGCTCATAGGTCCCAGTAAGTAAGTGATAGCCAATCTGGCATTGTATAGTTGTGTGTTCTACTAGAAAGCTAACCATTCATCCAGAATGCAGATGCATCAGTCATTACTGGACGCAGCACCGATGGTCGTTCAAGCCATCATATCCTCCATAACCCAACCAAAAGAGCAATTTAGAATCCAAGAGTTCAATTCAGCGTTGAAGTGCCTACAAGCATGGATTCCTATTCTTCGTGGCAAGTCAGTCAACCTCAATATGATCTGTGTTTCGTTCGGTCCATTGCATTTTGCGTCATGAAGCTCACCAAACTCAATCAAATACAGTGAACTTACACCGTTGATACCTTTATTGATCAATTTACTGTCACCATCGGTGACGCCTCTACATCCGGAAGGAGAATTTGATGAATCAATATTTGTCCCTGCTTCCGATGCTCTCCAAGAAATCACGTCAAAATCCTCTTTATCTGGTGGAGCTGGCTCCAGGACGCTCACCGACCCACTTTTGACGTGGCTAGATTTATACGGAGGTAAAATATTGGAATCAACTGCGAGCTGTAGGTGTAGGTTGCCCTCTTTCCCTTGCATATCTGACATTTGTCTTGCTTGTTTGTGCTAATTGCTCACAATGTCGATATTTAATTACCTATCGACGATTAGCTGGTTTCGCAGATGCTCTTTCTCACTCATTTTGCAAATTGCTAGTTGCTCTAGGAGACCACTCAAACTCTTATCTCGCGTCCAATATCGTGTCTTCAGTATACGTTGTTCCAAGTCAAGATAGCCAAACATTATCGTCTCAGCCGAGGACCAGGGCACATCTAGTTCAAAATTTTCTTAGGCTGATATTAGGGTATACTGCTCTTCCAGGATACTATGGTGTTGACGAAGAAGAGAGCGAGATGACTCTTGGTTTCTGGTATCTGTTTCAGGAATCGCTGTGGAGTGTCGAGTACGACTTGGAAGAAGACGAAGAAGGAAATAGGCAACCACCGCAAGAAACCGACAAAGAAAAAGAACAATGGGCAGTGGTGAAGGCTGTGTACAGTGAACTGGTGCAAGTTCTCAAGAGAAAGGTCATTTGGCCTGACCGAACCGTTTTGAGCGGGTGGGGAAAAGGTATTTAAATATGTCACCACTGCATCTGCCTTACTGTCCTGAGACTTGGATATTTAGATCAGAGAGACAAATATCAAGTGTAAGTGGACACTTTGCTTCGAATTCTCAGCATTACTAAAGCCTTTCTAGGTACCGGAGAGATGTTGGCGATACCCTTATCAATGCGTAAGTTATAATCTGAAGAATCTACCTTCATGCCTGATGTGTCTGTAGCTATTATATCCTGCGCAACGACATGCTGGCTTATTACTTAAATGATCTGATTGAACATGTATCGGCAAGGAATGATAGTGATGGTTGGGAGGTTAGTATCTGCTTAGTTGAGTACATTGACATTGGCCCTGAACTCATTTTCACCTCACCAGGACATTGAAGCCACGCTGCACTGTATAATGTCCATTCAGGAAGCAATACCTCTAGAAGACAATCCTTTCCTTGCTCGACTTTTTGGCCACGAGGTACTTGGCCGTTTACCAAGGACTGGGCAAGATAGAATCAGACGCACAACTCTAGGCCTCATCGGTGAGTGACTTGTTAATTGAGCCCTTCCATCTTCTTAACGCAAATACTTGACCAGGAACATACGCCTCATGGTTTACCACGCAATCCCTAACATCAACGCCCACTTCGTCACCGACTCTTCTTATGAATACCGTATCTTATGTCGTTGCCGCACTTCCGGAGCAGATGCTGTGTCTCTCGGCTGCCAATTCTCTGCGTGATCTCTGCGATGCTAACCGCACTGCGCTCGCTCCTCACATTGGCGCATTCGCGGAGCTGCATGCTGGCTTGACGGGTATTCCGGTACGTTGGATGGTTGTTGATAATAATTTGCAGTATTAACGTTGATAGAATAGGATACCGAAAAATGTAAGGTGCTACAGTCTATCGCTAGTGTCATCCAGGCTTTGCCACCAGAAGAAGAGATACCGCCGGTTCAGGTTTAGTATCTTCTATGGTTCATCCTAGCAGACCTTTCTCATGTTTGTTGTTCAGGCTATTGTTAGTCCAGTGGTAGAGAAGCTCGTTCAAGCTCTACAGTCTTCTACACAGGTCAGGAAGTTTACTTCGTTTTGGAATCATCTAGTTGACAATCATGCTATATTCACAGCTTCCTGAAGAGGCTCGCACCATGATTGTGGTGCAGTTGCAAACCCTGACTGGAGTAGCCAAAGGCCTCACTCGTACTACGGATTCTCTACTCATCCTTGAAGAGTCTCCAGAAGAGCAAGTAGAAGTTGAACGGGTGCGACAAGCCCGCAAAGACTACAGGATGATCAAGTTGCGTGAGGACCTCTTTACTGCTATCAGGAATACTGTGGATATGTGGTCGACCGATGCCGGTGTCAGTGACGTGAGTATTCCTTGAATATTGAGTTTTTTCCTCTTGCATCTTACACTGATGGTGGCCAGGCACTCAGCGAGCTATTCAGATCGATAACTGCACTACCCTCCGATATGACATTGCTTTCTCTCCCTGCTGGCCCTCTTCTCGAGCTCGTTTGCTTTGCCTCTCAGAGACAGCTCACAGCTATCTGGCTGACTCTCGCCAATATGCTCATCATACAAGTAGACCCTCCTACTTTGATTCCTTCAACTTTGAAGTCTGGTCCAAATGTTGAGGCACAGACCGTACTCTCCAATGTTCTCCCTGCGTTACTGCAGACATCTTTGACTGCGCTTGGCCACCCAGGAGCCATGGAATCTGTAGGTCATTCAAGTCATTCCGGAAGAAGCTTTCTGATTCCTCGGTAGAACCCCGATATTGTGCAGGCATTTTTTAGCTGCATGGACACTGTGAGCTTCTTTCCAAAACCGGACTCGCTGTCTTTGACTATTTGACAGGTAGCGAAAAACTTTGTTGCGGCTTTTTATAGACTTCAACCTGGAGCACTAGATACACTTATGCGATGCGCGATTGGATCATTATCACTACAGGAGCGCTACTCCCTAGTCTCAGCATGTACATTCCTCGTAAGTCAACCCTCTCTTGTGATACGACTCTAACCCAATCCGTCCTCCGTCGGATTATTAGGCCGCACTGATCAGTAAAACGGCCAACAGCGATGAGTTGGGCGATGCTAGTGCTATGCTCATTCAGGCTCATGGACGGCCGATAATGCGAGCTATCCTATGTGGTTTTGCTAGCGTGGCTCCGCGGTCCGCGACAGTAAACCTCATTGAGCTTCTTATGACGTTGAATTCAAGGCACCCAGCAGAGACCAGGGCCTGGATGAATGAGATTCTATTTGCGGTGGGTGATTTACGTTACTTGAAGCGTGTTTTCGGAACTAAACTTTCCCATCTTTCTGAATAACTAGGATGACTTCGTGCAGTCTAAAGCTGGCCCAGACGCCAAGAAGGCGTTCATCAAGGCTGTGGTAAGGTAAGCAGTCATGGTTGGCACCTTCCGTATCGTTGTTTTGACTACCATAAATCTCCAGTTCACGATCTCCGAAGAAGACGAGAGATTCAGCACAGCAGTTCATATTAGTTGCAAGAGGTCTGGAAGGGTCAAGTTTCGGGTATGCATCCGGTAGCATGTGATTGAGATTATCATCGACTTCCTGTAAGATCGGGCCGTGGCAGTCGTGAGTGATGTATAGTAAAAGATTCTCTATCTGTACTCGCACAAAGAAGCTATACCAGAGTTGGACACAGACCAAGGTTTCGACCGAAGCATTGGGCCTGAAATAGGAATCGATTACAGTAAAGTTGCAACATCTACCTCATCAAGCATCAGCGCACTGGTTAGGCATGCGATTATACTTGTCACTCGGACCCATACCCGATGATCCTTGAGTAGCGCTCACCGTCACTGTGCTACACGCGTTTACTGGTCGGACCAGTGTCGGATATCGAAATGATGGGCCATAGAATTTCTCGCGACCTGCAGACACGAAGCTCGGTGGCGTTTTCAAGAATAAGCGTATGGTGAGAGCGCAGAGAATGCGCCCGTGAATTTGTCGCGTTGCATGAAAGCATGGCCGCCGCTGATGGTTTTGTCGCAGGATCCTAGGAACAGCCTTGGTAATGGTGAGATCCATGAAGCTCATTGGTCTACAAAATATTGCAGAACATGTATGTTGCAAAGATAAACCTGGGCTGCAGTGCCAGACTTTTTTTCTAGTTATACTCTTTGTCATTCCGTACTTCTTGTCCCGGTATCTGATAAAAAATTTGAAGATTTTGAGCTCCGCCCGGTAAGGCCGTCGGCAAAAGAGCGGCTGCTGAGAGTCCATGCAGCCGACTCCGGGATGATATTCGGCCGTTGCGGCGATAAAATGCAAAAAGGCGAGTTGTGATTGGCAGAGCGTGACGAGCCGGCAAATTCAATCACAAGGACCACACCCATAAATTGATGTTAGTCGGACGCAATTTGCCGAAACTCTCTCACTTTTAAACTTGCTCATCGTTGTCGCCGACGTGCGTCGCTTTCGACGATGTTGAACGTAACAAAGACCCGCGAGGCCGTGCGGTCATTGCAGCGGTTGGCCGCAGGGATGGCTACCGCAGCACCCCGTATTGGTGACACCAAAGTCGCCATGTCTCTGCTTGAGAAGGACGCATACATCAACTACCAGCGCATTGAGGACAATCTCGTTGTTATTCGTGAGAGGTACTATCTTTTTAGCTCTTGTCGAGAATGGCATTCATATAAATGTCCATAGGTTGCGTCGTCCTTTGACGCTTTCAGAAAAGATTGTCTACGGGCATTTGGACGACCCTCAACACCAGGACATTGAGCGTGGAACTAGCTATCTGAAGCTCCGACCTGACGTTTGTCTCGCTCCCCTGTTATACCATCTCCACTGTTATTAATATCCGTTATCCACAGCGTGTTGCCTGCCAGGATGCGACTGCACAGGTGCGCGACATTACCTACGTCACAGAATCAAAACTGACGTAATGTAGATGGCTCTTCTTCAATTCATGTCCGCAGGAATGGACACTGCAGCTGTTCCAACTACAGTTCACTGTGACCACTTGATTGAGGCTCAGATTGGTGGCGTAAAAGACTTGGCCCGTGCGATTGATATCAATAAGGAAGTCTATGATTTCTTGGCTACCGCCACAGCTAAGGTGCGTTATAGAAGTGTAAGTTAGTGTATGATATAGCTCAAGAGTGTTCCATTCAGTATGGTCTCGGTTTCTGGAAACCCGGTTCTGGTATTATCCATCAAATCATTTTGGAGAACTATGCATTCCCTGGTGGTCTCATGATTGGTACTGATTCGCACACCCCTAATGCTGGTGGTTTGGGTATGGTTGCTTGTGGTGTTGGTGGAGCTGATGCTGTTGATGTCATGGCTGGAATTCCTTGGGAATTGAAGTGCCCTAAGGTCATTGGTGTCAACCTCACTGGCAAGATTGGTGGCTGGACAACTCCCAAGGGTGAGGTTACCTCATTAAAATAATATAGTCTTCACTAATGTTTCTGCGTTATTAGATGTCATATTGAAGGTAGCTGGTATTCTTACGGTCAAGGGCGGAACTGGTGCTATTGTCGAGTATCATGGGTCTGGTGTCGAGTCTCTCTCTTGCACTGGTATGGCTACCATCTGCAACATGGGTGCTGAAATTGGTGCAACGACTTCGCTCTTCCCATTCAACCGTCGCATGGTGGACTACCTCAATGCAACCAAGCGCTCTGAAATCGGTCAATACGCTCAACGATTTGCTCACAACTTGCAAGCTGATAAGGGTTGCGAGTATGATGAGAACATTGAAATCGTGAGTGCATCGGTTGTCTTTATTGGCCAGCCTCTTGACTAGCATGAAAAAGAACTTGTCGGAACTTGAGCCCCATATCAACGGACCTTTCACTCCTGATCTTGCTACTCCTATCTCTAAGTTTGCTGAGGAGGTGAAGAAGAACAACTGGCCACAAGAACTCAAGGTTGCTTTGATTGGATCTTGCACAAACTCTTCGTACGAGGACATGTCGCGCTCCGCTTCTATCGCCAGTGAGGCTGCGAAGCACGGACTCGACGTGAAGAGCAAGTTTACTATTACTCCAGGTTCCGAGCAAGTTCGTGCTACCATCGATCGTGACGGTCAAATTGGTGCTTTCGAACAAGTCGGTGGACTCGTTCTCGCTAACGCATGTGGCCCTTGCATTGGTCAATGGGATAGACAGGACGTCAAGAAGGGCGAGGCAAACTCTAGTAAGTAGCACAGTGATCCCAACAGTGCATGATATTTATGGTATTTTCATATTTTCAAAGTTATCACCTCCTACAACCGTAACTTCACTGGCCGTAACGATGCTAACCCCGCTACACATGCCTTCGTTGCATCTCCCGACATTGTTACTGCCTTTGCTTTTGCCGGCGATCTCACTTTCAATCCTTTGACTGACTCTCTCACCGGTTCTGACGGCAAACCTTTCAAGTTCTCCGACCCAACTGGCAATGAACTCCCTCCTCGTGGTTATGACCCCGGTCAAGACACCTTCCAGGCCCCTCCCGCCAACCGTGAGAGTGTCTCCGTCGCCGTTGACCCCAAGAGTGACCGTCTTCAGCTGTTGAGCCCCTTCCAACCATGGGATGGCAAGACTCCCGCCGACTTGCCTATTTTGATCAAGGTTAAGGGCAAATGCAGTACGTCGCGTGCATATCGCGGCCTTATGTTATTACTCACCCTGCTTGACTAGCCACCGACCACATCAGTGCCGGAGGACCATGGCTCAAATATCGCGGACACCTCGAAAACATCTCCCGTATGTCATTTTTGATTGTTCGTTGACGCCGCTGACACAATGGTTACAGAGAACTGCCTGATCGGCGCCATTAACTCCGAGAACGGTGAGGCCAACAAGGTCAAGAACCAGATTACTGGTGAATACGGAGCCGTTCCCCAAACTGCCGCTTACTACCGTGAGAAGGGCATCAAGTGGGTTGTCATCGGAGACCACAACTATGGTGAAGGTTCTTCCCGTGAGCACGCTGCTCTCGAGCCCCGTTTCCTCGGCGGTCTTGCCATCATCGTCCGTTCGTTTGCCCGTATCCACGAGACCAACTTGAAGAAGCAGGGTATGCTCGCCTTGACTTTCGCAAACCCCGAAGACTACGAGAAGTTGCAACCTACCGACAAGGTCGACATCTTGGGCTTGGAGTCGTTCGCACCTGGCAAAAACCTTACTCTCTTGGCTAAGCACGCTGACGGTAGCAAGGATGTGAGTGTTTTATACGCATAGTGTGAAGTATTGTGCTAAACCGCCGAAACTATTTGCAGGAAATTCCTCTCGCCCACTCTTTCAACGAAGGTCAAATCGAGTGGTTCAAGGCTGGATCTGCTCTCAACTTGGTGTGTTCTGTAGTCAAGTCTTGGTAGCATTCATTCTCATCGTTCTTCACACAGATGGCAGCCAAGGCTAAGCAATAAATGTTTTGATAGATGGGTTCATACAGGATAAGATGAGAGTTTGCTCTTCATCGCTTTCTCAGTTATATTATCGGATGTTTTTCTCATCTGTATTTGTTTTGCCACTTTTGTGATCATGCTTCGAATCTTTACAACATCGATGATCCATGTAATGAACAGCGAAAAATGAAAAGGCATCTGATGCTGCACACTCAAACCTGTTGGGAATATTTTGAGATGCACTTTTTATATCCGTGGTATAGATCTTTTTTACAGATTCCTAGTTCTTAGATGTACATTTGTATTCCGAGTGAGTCGTTCCTACTTGGAGAAAGTCTTGAACCAATCCCTCCCAGCCTCCCATGACACCTTTGCAGCTTCCACTCCATCAATAGCATGCGTCTCCCCAGGAAAGCACAACATCTCCACCACCTTCCCCCTCCCCTTCAACGCATGATAATACGTCAAGCCCTGCGTCGGCGCCACGCGCAAATCGTCCTCCCCGAGCGCGATCAACACCGGCGCACGCACGCCATGCACATGCGCGATCGGCGAGGCGCGAAAGAGGAGGTCGTACGCGGGGGGATCGATGAGGGACGACGGCGCAAAGGGCAGGCCAAACTCCTCATAGTACCAGTCTGGGATGTCGGAGATGGAGAGCTGGCCGGAGGAGATGACGGGGTTGCGGAGGACGGCGGCGGTGAAGAGGGTGGGGTGTTGGCCGATGACTGTGTGTGGGGGCGTGGGCGGCGTACATGGACGGTGTCGTGCGGAAGCACGCAAAGAAATCAAGCAAAAGTGAGGTGAGCCAGTGCCCCAAAGCTGGTAAAAAATTAAAAAAAAACTCACGATGCGCCGCCAAAAAGCCGCCATGACTCCCCCCCTGCACGCCCTGCCTGCCCTCCTGCGCGAGCCCCAGGCGGACGAGGTGCAGCGCGGAGGCGACGCAGTCCTCGACGTCGAGCGCGCCGCATCGGCCCAGGAGGGCGTCGACGTGGGTTTGGCCGAAGCCGAGGGAGCCGGTGTAGTTCGGGAGGGAGAGGGTGTCTGTGTGTGAGGGGGTGTTAGTGGGGTGGGGGGAAGAGGGAGAGGGGGGAGGGGAGGGGACGTACATCCTTCAAGCGCCAATGCCGTCGTCCCAGCCGAGAACGCCGTCGTGCTCGTCGCATGCGGGCCCCCGTGCGGAATGGTGATGCAGTACGGCTTCAAGCCCTCCCCGGCCGCGCCGGCGAGAGCGGATTTGGACTTGATCACGATGGTCTCGACGGGGTAACGGGAGGGGATGGGGAGGATGGAGGTGGAGAGGGAGGTGAGGGCGGTTTGGACTGTGGGGGTTGGGAGGGGGGTTAGTGATTCACGTTTTGGGGGTTTTGGAGGAGGAAGATGGGATGATAGGATAGAATAGAAGTAGGAATGACATTCGGAAAACTCGTTGAAAGCAAACCAAAGTCCACAAAAAAGGGAGAGGGAGTTAGAGAAAGAAAGAAAAGCGGGACGTACGTTCGTCAGACAACACAGGCTTATCAATCACCCTCCACTCCACACCCCCGCTCGCGTCGAACCTGCCTAGCATGATTTCGGGGGGCGTGGTGGGGGTGCTGCGCGTGCATAGGACGAGGTCGCGGTGGTTGGTGGTGAGGACGGTCCAGCTGTACAGTCCCTCCTTCCCATCCTCGTTCTCCTCGCCCGCACCCGCACCGGGAGTGACGTTCCGCACAACCCCAGTATCGACATTGATGAGGAGAACGACGGTACGCGAGCGCCACAAGGATTGGGCGACGATGTAAGACGACGCGGACGCGGAGGGGCCGAGGCGGAGGAAGGGGGAGGCGGGGAGGTTGTATTCGGTGTAGAAACCCGGGAATTCGTCTGGTTTTGGGTCCCATTGGGTGTCGACGAGGGTTTGGGAGGAGGTGGGGTCGGGCGCCGCTCCCTCCGCCGAGGGGAGCAGGGCGAGGGAGTGGAGAGAGACGCACGAGGCGTGGGCGCCGCCTGTTGGGTTTGAGAGCCAGAAGAGGCGGGTTGGGCTTGCGCTCGTGGGGTCGAAGAGGACGCGGGGGGAGCGGGGGGAGCGGGTGGGGGGGGTGAGGCGGTGGAGGGTGCAGGTGAGTTCTGTCTTGTCCCCGCCCTTGCTTTCGCCCTCTGGTTTGGCTTGCCCTTGGGAGAGGTCAAGCCCCTGGGGAGGGATATCGAGCGCCCATATCCCCGTCGGACGGTTGAAGCATCCTTTGATACCCAGCAGCCGTCCGTCTTGGGTGTGCTCGTAGCCTGTGGCGAAGACGCGAGATTCGGAGGCGAAGATGGCTTGGGCGAGGAGGATGGGGACTGGGGAGGCGTCTTGGGCGGGGAGGACGAAGGTGAGGGCGGAGAGCGTGGGTGTGGGAGGGCTGGACTGGGTTGATTTGAAGGGGATGGGTGTGGTGATGGAGGAGGGGGAACGCCAGCGGAAGAGAAAGATGGTAGGACGTTTCTTGGTGCAGAGGGTCTCGCCAAAGCTGGGTGTGAAGCGGAATTTGGCGTAGGGGTCTGAGGAGGGAGTGTGGGTGGAGGCTTCTGCGGTGTAGAGGAGGGCGGACTCGTGGGGGAGAAGGAGAGGGAGAGAGGATGTCTGTGTGGGGGTGAGTAAGATGAGATGGGAGGGAGGGGGACGTACCGTCTGTAGCAAAGGACCCGTGTGTGGAGGTGACTAGGAGGGACGCCTCGAGACGCGAACCAGCCCATATCTCGACGAAGCGTTTCTTGCCACTCTGCTCAGAGAGCTCCCGAAGGACCGCGGTGCGTGCGTTGGAGGGGGAGATGAGGGATGCTTGGATGTCGGAGGAGTCTTGGGAGAGGGAGGAGGAGAGGGAGGTGGGGGTGATGAAGTATGTTTTTTGGATGGATCGTTTGAGATTGCGCTGGTGATCGCGGACGGAGAAGGATACGCGGATGACTGTGGATGGGGATGAGCGGGAGGGTTATTGCGATAGCGGGGTACGTACGGTCTGAGGAGACGAACTGGGGAGAGGTGGGGACGGGGAGCTCTGAGAGTTCGGTGTAGAAGCTGTGTGGGCTGGAGTCGGACATGGTGGCTGGAGGGGGGATGCGGGTCACGTGGAAGGAGGTGGCTGGAGGGAAGTGGCCCTTGCTGACATAAGCAAGTGGCGGAGTATTCCGAGGGTAGGATTGTCGATTTTGCTCTGAGCACTCCAAGACTCGAGTTTAAAAAATGAGAGAGGATGATGAGAAAACTGCCATGATTTCTGAGACGTTCCTTATTAGGCAACTTCCACCTCACCACCCTCTCCTCCTCCCCTCCCTCCACTCTCCCAGTCTCCATGTCCCACGACGTCCTCATGCTTGACATCCACCCCTCCTCGTCGTCACACTCGTCCCCTCCCTCACACACTTCCTCCCCCTCCTCCTCACATCACAACCGCAACGACAACGACAACGACGACCCTCCAGACGTTATCTCCCTCGACCCAACCTCACACAACCCCATCCGACCCAACAACGACGACCCCATCCACATCGACTATGTCCCTACATCATCCAATAATATTTCAAAGCCTCTTTCTTCCGCCACCGCCTCCACCTCTCATCCCGCCTCTGCCCCTGCCACCGTTGCTGCGCCGGGAGCACGCGCCACCCACCCAAAACCCAAGTCAACCAAACAAATCCGCCCACGCTCCCGCTCCCCTT